CATGGCCTAGTTGGTCTCCTACACCACAGTGGGGGGGGGGGTTGCCCTCCCAGGGCTCCAGAGGCTTTCCTCAAGCCTCTGGGAGGGCGAAAACGACCTCACCGGGCTGCAGAGGCCCTCCAGAGGCTGGAAACGGTAGACCCGTTTTTCATCTTCTTTGAGCCTCTGCGTGCACCCTGCACTTATCTGCATCTAAAATGGGCGCCACGTGGGGATTTCTGGGAGGAGAGGTGCAGGGTGGGTGGGGCCAGCCAGGAGTGGGATTTGGGGGTTCTCCAAACTGCACAGAATCTTAGCTAGAGGTTCTCCCGAACTCCTGCGAACTCCCAGCAGCCCACCCCTGGTTCTTATCTGTCTTTTGAAGCACAACCCACCACAAAACCTGAAAGGTAAAAATAGTTCTGAAAAAAATGTAATGCCCCAAAATCCATAATGATGGATTTTAACTATTATGGTAGACATTTGACCTCCTCAACAAACTTTCCACATCGCTGTCTTTGAGAGGCCACCTCTATTATCAATATAGAAATCCTATGTGTTCTAAACTTAAAGTCCTCATCCATCATCCCAACTGGGCATCTTTCAAAATAAATGGACAGATCAGTGGCCAGAGTTGAACTAGTTTCAAAAAATGGTTTATGACCAGAAAAGTATTTTAAGACAGTTTCTGATCTTAAAAATATATGGAAGAAACCCTTATCGTTTTGTTCATATTTTCCTTTGTAGGTATTTAAAGCATCCTATTATTTTTAACAACAGCAATAAAAATCCTCCATCATCATAAAAAAGTCAAAATGATTCACATCCAAATAGGCTAAAATTTAAATTTCTTGAGCTATTACATGCATTACATAGTGAAGCATAAATTCTACAAATAGGAATGCAAACATCAGAAATTTAGTGAAGTTTCCTATGTGCTAGGGGAACTGTGTCAAAATTGTACCATACCTATGTGCTAGGGAACTGTGTCAACACTTGTACCATACCTAGAAAAGGCTACCTCTGAAAAAGATACTAGCGTTACAACTTCTACAACACACATAGAGAAAAACCAGTTCCAAAACTGTATTAAGATTACTTTGAATTCTTGCTGAGTTTTTACCTTGCCCAAGCTCAAGAACTCACAAATAAAAGGAATGGAGACTCTAGAAAGAGTGCAGAGAAGTGCAACAAAGATGATTAGGGGACTGAAGACTAAAACATACAATATGAAGAACGGTTGCAAGAACTGGGTATATCTTGTTTAATGAAAAGAAGGACTAGGGGAGACATGATAGCAGTGTTCCAATATTTCAGGGGATGCCACAAAGAAGAGGGGGTCAAGCTATCCTCCAAAGACTCTGACAGAAGGACAAGAAGCCATGGGTGGAAACTAATCAAGGAGAGAGACAACTTAGGACTAAGGAGAAATTTCCTGACAGAGCAATTAATCAATGGAACAACTTGGTTCCAGAATTGTGAATGCTCCAACACTGGAAGTTTTTAAGAAGATGTTGGATATCCATTTGTCTGAAGTGGTGTAGGGTTTCCTG